CCCCCCAGTCATTTAATAAAATATTTACAAGATATATTTACACGTAAAAAATCTTTATTTTTTTGCTTGTCCAAAGGCTTTTAAAACAAAGATAATCTGGTTTGTGCTTCTTTCTTTTTAATATCATCGGCTTTAATCTGACCCTGAAGTTTTTTGATTTAAGGAAGTTGTTTGTGCATCGTCGCAGATTGTCCAACTACAAGATTGTTCTTTTAATTTACTCTAATAAAGCAGTTCTCTGATAGTCTCGTACAGCTTGAAGTAGAAAAGTCTGCAAAGTTTGAGGAACCATAAAATAAAATAAAATAAAATCCCTGTTTGTGGATATTTTGATGCTGGAGTGATCGCGATAAACAGATAAATATATTTAGTGGTAAAACAAGTCATTTATCACCCTGAACAGAAAGCAGAACATGAATTCTTATGGTTTTGTCATTTATGTGCAGGAAACCGCACTGTTTTGGTTCGCTGATATTCAAGTTTGTTGTTTTTTTTTTTTTTTATAAAGAAATGTCCTTTTTCAGATCCTGCTTCCCTCAACACAACGGACAGCCCAACTCTTTTCATCACAACACAAAAAAATAAAAAATACCAATGACTTCAGGTTGGACCCCCCGGTCGTCTCATTGTTCGGTGGTTTTCCTCGTTCTTCATCCTGAAACACCTCAGTGGCTCTGTATGTTTCCCGCCCCCTCAGGGCGTTCACTCGGTGCGCTGGTTCGGTTTTTCATGGTGGCCGTTCTCGCCGTCCGTCTCCTGGTGACTGAAGAGGTAGTTCCACCAGCTCCTGGAGTGGGGGATGGGTTTGGCGGACCCGGTGCTCCTTACCTTCCTCATCTCCTGCAGAGCAGAGAGTTCGGATTAGAGGAACAAAACCACTGCGACACGACCGCCCAGCCCTCAGGTCTGGATGTTAGCGTGGGGCGGTGTGGGCAAAAAAATGAATCACGATTAATTGTGGCATTTAATTGATAACAAATAATATGACGATTAACCCCCAGGGTGAGTCGGAGCGTCCTGGTCACATGACTGATTTAAATCACTCTAGTGCTCAAACTTAAGGTCCGTGGGCCAAATGTGGTCCACCACAGCATTTTACGTGGCCAAAAGAGCTTCAAAGATGTATTAAAGTTCTTAACGTCAGCACTGACCATGAACTACATTTCCCACAATGCATGTTGATTATTGTACCCACGAAATGACGGCTCCCACCACCAGGTGGAGCCGCACAGGGTTCAAAACAGACTTGAATAATGCTGCGTTCACACCGAACGCGATTTCAGCTTCAAAATTACATCCAACGCTTCAAGTTGGTCACTTGTGCACTTTGAGGTCAGACGCAGGTCAGCTCTTGAAGCGCTGCACGGCAACAGCCTCCCCGACCCTCCCTCCTCTGTCGGGCTCTGTTTAATGTCGGACGAGGAAGTGGCTTTGCTTTATTTACAGAGAGCAAGAGCATGTCACGTTCATCAGATAATTAATTCATAATTAATTCACCAGATAATTCAGACACATTCTGAGTTTCATCACCCAGGAGCTGCGGGAGAGGCTCACAGTTCGCTTTCAGGACTATTTTTGTCCTGAGTCCAGTCTGATGAGTCACTGCCACGCATTGGTGCGGATATCTCCTGTCAGGACACCGACTGCAGGCACTCGATTTCAGCTAAAGAGCTCCTCTCCATCTGTTTCAGGTTAGTGGACATCATTCAGTAAACTGTCCCGTCGGGAAATATGTTGCTACGTCACACAGTGGAGTCTCTCTGATTGGTTGGCACAGCCAGGTGTCGCTAATCAGCTCTAAGGCTGACACTTGAGAACTACTCCTTCACTTCACTTAAAGTAAGACTGAGAAGCTTGATAAATAACTTTTCCTCTC